CTATTACAATATATATTTTTGAAAGCATTCTTACTTTACAGCATTTTTTCACACCTGCCTAAAACTGCACAGTACTGTAGTATTGTATTAAAGGACAATAATCTTTACCGTTTGCTAAACAAAGGGTTCTTATCATTTTTAGGACTGCATCAGCCCTACTTGATATAGTATATTGGTTGGTTCAAATGACAGCAACCTATCTCAGCGCTTTATTTAAGACATTTTAGATTATTTTCCTAGAAACTATCAATATATACTATGAAATGAATTTATAATTAAAGTTTTAATATTACCCCAAAACCAGATAAATAAGCTTGTGCATTACTTTATATGCCTGAATTACCCATTCCTCCATTATAAAAAAGCAATAAATCAGCAACTTTTTTGTAAGAGGACAGACAGGGATAAAAACCTTTTGGAACAGAGAATGATAGAGTCTTTTAAAAAATAAGGTTACAACTATATATTCTAGAGTATGAGCTGTTACTGAGAAGTTACTGTCCTAAATGTCTGTCTAATCAAAGATGATTAAATAAGCAAGGCCTTATGTCAAAGTACTGACAGGTCATACAAGTGCAGCTACGCAGGCAGTCCTTTCAAGTAATCCAGTCACGTGGTTTTTACAGGTCAAAATTGGTGCTTTGAATTGGGCCCACAAATGTCCTAGTAAGGTAAATAGTGCAACTATTACAGAATCCACATGTGAGCTCCAACAAGCACTTGAGCAGTGAAATTCTGAAACACTTGAAAATTCCAAGTCATTTTCAAGACTTCTCCAACATTATCAGGATCAAAAGCCCAACTCTGACTCCAGTATCTTGCATAAAATGGAAGCTTAGATAGTAGGCAGCAACAGTCACAGATCACTGAATCCAGACTCAGTTTCTTTAAAAAGGGGGACTTTCTATCATGTCCCTAAAGGCAAAATGAATTACCTCCTCTCTGAGAAGCATTAATTATTTTTGCAGTCCATAGCTCTTACAAATTTTAACAACTAAGATAGGTAAGGAAAGGAGTAGGATTAGAATTACTTAATACCCTCCAAGTAATATGAACTCCCATGACAAATGGTAGAACTGCAGAAAGGCACCAGGTTACCTATTTCAGATAAACATCTGTACCTCTACTAATAGCTTGCATAAGTAGAGATGTTTTCACAGTAGACTCAGATGATGCTCTAGGTGGATCCAACAGGCATTTAAAATTATGTTGTTGGATCAAAAGTGAATTGTTTTTATCTGCAAAATCTAAGGGATTCACTGTTTGTTCCTAATTTTGTTCTTAATTCATTAAAATTAAAATTGTTCCTAATTGTTAAAAATCTAAGGGATTTTTAAGTTCCTAAGTTTGTTCCTAATTCATTAGGTCCTCACATTCAAAAGATATAATACCTGGCACTATGTGGATGTAATGGTGACAGAGGAATTTCTTCCTTATTATTGGTCAGAATATAACACTTACAAAGGTTTCTTCTACCTTTGCCAGTATTAATTACAAGTCTTCTAATATTCTTGTTGAAACTAACCTGGATGTTTTATCATATCCACCTATTTGCAATACCAAAAGACTGATATACTATTATAATTTGGTTAAGAACCACACTGATAGTCTACATCACCTATTCATTCCAGGCAGAATCTTGACAGGGCTTTAACAGGGCCACTGGCAACAGCTGTAACACATGTGATGTTTGACTGGAGTGCAACCTCTTTTTTTCTTTCAGAAACATTAAGTAATAATTATCTTAGAGGAATGATTTAAAAACTATTCGGCAGAGTTCATCAAATAGTGAGGGGAACTGAACTATAAGTTGAAAAATTACTACTTCATATTCTATATTTAGAAATATAGATTACAATTGTTCAGAAATACTATTATTATTGTGGAATGGGTCTTAATATTTAAAGGACCCAAAAATACCTAAGTATGTAACAATGTGTTTGCGAAGACTTTTGTTTGGATACACACCTAATTAAAATCATACAGTTAACCTAGTTTAAAGATGACAGGTTCTAATTTGTGAACCTGAAGCATGAAGCAACATCAAAACTTCTGCTCAGAATATACTGGATTTTAAATGTTATCTTATTCCAGTCTGAATTACAACAGCAATTTTCTTTCCAACAGTTGATTGTACAAAACTTTTATATGGCTTCTGAAAGTTAATGATAGTTAATAGATTTTTCATGGACTATCAATATAAAATATTTATATGACTGCCTTGGTGAAAGAGGAATGATTCAAAGTTTTCAGTTACTATAACTTAGATAGAACAAATTTAATTAAAAGGAAACCAAATTAAGTAAATCAAACCAAAAAGTTACATATTCTGTTTCTTAGAACAGTACTGAACCCAAAAAGAAACAGGAAAAAAGAAACAAAGGGAGCTTTACAAGAAAATGATAGCAAGATGCTTAGTCACATTTAAAATATTGTCTGAAAGTTAATACCTGACAATGAAGTTGTAGGTGTAACAGAAGCTACAGGAATGGGAGGCATTGATGCACTTGAAAAAGAGCTGTATGTACCACTGGTTGGTCCACTGCTACTGCTGCTGTTCCCACCTCCACTGCCACTATTATTACCACCAGTAACAGGAGATGCTGATGATGTAACAGGTGAACTCTTTTCTCCCACATTTGGTGAATTCTCCCACGCTTTGCGAGCAGATTCCATCTATTCAGAAAAAATAATGGCTTTATTTTAAGACAGGTACTACTTTTCACTGCTATATTTTCATATCAGTTTATCCTAGATAAGTCCCTACTCCTCTAAGTAAATCATCAGGCAAAAGCAAATTCCCTTAAAATATTCAATATATAAATGTTCATGTAGCAGAATAAAAGAAAGGATACAGTGCAGATTAGAACTAAATGTAAGTCTTAATAAGGCATACAAACTGGTATAAATAGTTTGTCAAGAACATCTGTTAGTAGTACTGCATTGCAAATAAAGTATGTCAACTGTCCTTCTTTCTAAACTGAACCAACTGCCACAGGTCTCTGATGACAATTCAGTAATGCTTACTGTGTATTTGTAAAGCCCACTATATTAACATCATGCATTCCTGCCTTGTACTACTTCTCTGGAAACTGCAACATAATTTCTGTAACAATCAAATCAATCAAAAGGTGATGTGGATCCAAGTTGTGCATCTTAAATTGTGCTTTACTTTCATAATTTAAGAATATACGGTAGATCCTCATCGCTTTTCACTGTCAAAACATAATGCTATAGCTTTCAGATAAATGACATCAGATGTCAATCACTATACCAGAATAATTTTATAGATATTCAGATTTCAGCAATATCAGTTTAATATCAATAATATACTAATGTAACCGTTCCCAGTTGCACTGTGTAAGATAGCATATAAGCAAAATTATAGTTTCTCAAAATACAGTCAATTTTATATAGACATTTACTGACAACCTCTCAAAGACTTTCTTAAATTATTTTTTCTAGGAAACAACTATCCAAGCACAGAAAGGCCACCTATGTGGAGCAGATAAAGATTCCTATATAAACTCTTTTAGATACCTGGGATAAGGATCATTACCCAGGTATCCAATACTGATAATAATTCAACTATTGTAGGACGACCAATGGTACATGTCTATGTACTCAGTATCTTCCTACAGGTCTTTTCTTTCCACAGTGCAGAGGAATATACATTAACGAATAGTTTTTTCTTAATAACATGTGCCTTTCAGATGGGTTGAAGTATAATATCCATTAAAACACGTTAGCTGAGAATTCTAATGCAGGACATCTGAAGGGTGAGGAAAGGCTACCTGATACCAAACATTCAAACACTTCATTAGATCAGAAGTTTTCAGGCCACAAAACCTGTTACTTTAAACATTCCCAGAGGTAAAGCTCCTGTAATAGAAAATTGGCTGCATTTGAGTGACCTTTTTTTTAAAATCCCCAGTCTCTCATTGGATCCCCATCATTCCACAGAACACAATTTGAAAATCATTGCATTAAATCACTATGTGCTTATTAAAAAAAAGGCACACTACTTTGTCACAGCAACACTTCTAACAGAACATAGTTGAAGAGGCCAAAGAGAGAGGCTTAAATAATTTTTAATATAGAGAAAGAGGATTAAGCATTAAAAGAGAGATTTTGTGAAACTGTATATATTTATTCTAAAAACAGCTCTTCTGTCCAGTGCAGTGTCTGTCATATATGTTTCACAAATATTTTAAAGTACTGACCCTCAATGTTTCACTTTTTAATTCCGGTCTATCAAGAAGCTGACTTCTCTATGCATATATACAAAGCAAGTTACTCATATATGCCAACAGAAAATAAGAAAATGCACATCTTCAAAAAATAATAAAAATCCCAAGGGAATATTTCTGTTAAATTTACAGAAATTTCGTTGACATGAATTATGCAAAAGCACAGATA